TAGAGGCCAGTTGTGGGACACTGGTTTAGCCGGCGACGGGTGGGTCGACGGCAACGAGTGTGAAGACGATTGAAACTGGAAGAAGAAAAAGCTGTTGCCCGACAAATAGTTGTCCCCCTTCTTCTATTTTGGACCGGCTTAACCTGCGAACGTTCACTAAGGAGCGTGACAAATGCGGACGTTCTTTTATGAGAATTTGTGTTGGTCGAGAATGGCTAGATTTGTCATGCTTGCTAATTAAACTTGCCATCCCCACGACAATATAAATTGCCATAAAAATGTTTGATTTGTCATTCTTTCCCAGCGAACAACGAACTTGAGTTGAATAGTAATATCTTTTGATGAGGATAAAAAAAACGTCCAGTAGTTTGAAGTTACGAATTTTTGTGTTGGGATAAGCTGTTTGATGCATGAGAGCTTCTAGTTTGAAAAAAGCTCCCCGCAAACACAAAGCTTGAAAAAGCCGGCATGTGATCAGCTCTGAGTCTCTGACAAGTGGAGCAGCAGTTTTGGGTTTGGTAGCTTCCCGCGCTAACAGATTTGCAGTCCAGGCGGGCGCCCGTTTAGCACGCCGGCGCCCTGGTGACGGAGCCCTCGAAGACGACGACCTCGTCGCCGGCGGCCACGCCGTGCCACTCGAACGACCGCGCCTCGTCCATCACGCTCTGCCCGTGTATGAAGAAGTACCCGCCGTCCGCGGGCAGCGGGAACCCGGACCCCGACGACGCGCCCCCCTCCAGCTCCCGGCGCAGCGCCGACACCGCGCCGCGCGCGCGCACGGCCACCTCCACGCGCCCCGCGCCGCACCGCGACACCACCGTCACTCGCAGCGGCTCCGGCGCCGGCGCCCGCATGCCCTTGCCCGGCCTCCTGGTCCCGTTCTTCTTCCCCTTCTGACGCGGCCGCCTGTCGTCGCCGTCGCCGGCGCCGTCGAGGGCGACGTGGATGACGGAGCCCTCCACGACGCCGTACCGCTCGGTGACGCCGGCGCCGGCGGCGTCGTCGTCCACGAGCGCGCCGCCGTCGTGGAAGAGGGACAGGGCGGCGGCGGGCCAGCCGTTGCGGCCCTGGAGCTTGTGCTTGATGTCCAGGACGGTGTCGAAGAAGCCCACCTCCATCTTGAACGGCGCCTCCCCCGACGACGAGCACACGAAGGTCACGTCCATGGCCGCCCACCCAGCACAACCAGGCAACCATGGCATGGCATGGCATTTATATCATGGCTGAGAGAATGCACTGCGTGTGAGCATTCGATCTGTCTGTTGCCAGCCAGCATGAATTTTCAGTGAGCATCCATCCATTAGCCTTCTGCAGAGGGCTGAGAGTACTTCAGAGTTCAGACTTGATGCATGATCAAGATTCCTCAACTTGCTGCTAATCACGCAGAACGACCTTCGTTTCCCCACCCATCTCACAAAATCGGCGTGCCGACTAGATTGTTTGTGACAAGGAAGAAGCTGTTTTTGCTCTTGATTGTTTATTATCATGTCTGCTACTTTGTGCAGGAGAACTTTGCTGGTGAAATGCCAGACTAAATTCAGCATCAAAATTGCAAGGGAAGACTGCATTGCATCAATCAGTTGCACAAGGGGTCACAAATCACAGACCCCTTGCTAAATATTCTTCACTGGAGTTACATTATCTTCTAGGAGTAAAGTGTTGAGCAAAAACAAACACTAGTTACTACTCCCTCTGTAAAGAAATATAAGAACGTTACATAACATCTCCAGGTCACATGTGTCATCAGAGAATTCATCCAATTTGCTCAGAATTTCATCAAAGAAAATCCATAGGTAGATTTAGGAGACTGGACTGTACACAGCAAGTTGGTTAAATATAAGTTGTCAAGTTACACATGATCTCATAATCAGACTAGCTATCTCAGTGATCTAGCAAAAAAAGTGTCGCGATAAGGAATGTCGAGTAGTGAATCACAGACACAGCAAAGAACAAGATACAAAATCTAGATGCTACCTATGTCGAACAGCTCGCACGGTTCCGCGTCATCTCAGATTTTGCTCCTGTATCTAACCACCTTTGCGAGCGTCTCCTGAGCCGCCAATGTCTGGGCATGGTCGTGGCCAAGCATGACCGTCCTGATGCTGATGCAGGTCCTGCACAGCTCCTCCCCGCTGTCGAACAACCCGCCTCGCACCAGCAGCTTCGCCCTCGTCTCGAGCAGCGTTGCTTTCAGCAGTGCCATCTCATGCCAGATGAACTCGTCGGCATGGTTGTCCGCCCGCAGCTTCTTCTTCCAGCACAGCGATCCCTGCTTCAGGTCCTGTATCCGTGACGCGACCGACTTCTCCGCGTCCTCGAGGATGTTGGTGCACACCTTGAGCAACTCCAAGGCCGAGCCGCAGCGCGAGAATGCCATGAGCGCTTGGATTGCCAGGGGCAGTGCTATCTTCTTGATGAAGAGCACCAGGTCGACCGGCTTGAGTTGAACCACAGGAGGCTCTGATTTGAAGCCAAACAGAAGAAATGCACTAGCCCACATGTGGTCTGAGTAGATAGACATATTGCCGGTCCTTATGACACCAGATACTGCTGCGGATGCCGGTGCCAGACTGCCGCTGATCTTGCCGAACATCTGCACGATCGGGTGAAACTGAATCCAGCAACCTGGACGCTGAGTTGTTTTCCGCGCCAAGCCAAGTTTTACCAGCAAGTGTGCCGACTCCACCTCAGCTTTCCTTGCCTGTGGCTGCAGAAAGCAGTGTGTGCCGCACAAGAGTGCCGCCTTAAGTGATTCACTCAACAGCTGAATGCTATTGGTTTTTGTTGGCAGCTTACTGGCCATGGCAGCTAGTAGGGTTGACGACACGGGCGATGGAGCTAGCCAAGAACCTACTGTGATCATCCTCAAGGCAAGACCACCTCCTTTCACCTGGTTCATCAATGCAAAGCAGAAGACTAATACCTTGATCAGAAACAAATTGTTCTGCCATAAGTTGTCATCACCAGAACAGAGCACAATCATGTTCTCATTTAACAACACCCGCTCGACAGCCTCAAAAAGAATACCGGGGTCTATCATCAACTCGGACAACAGTGAACCAACAAGCCACAGCCCGAAGCTGACTCGCCCCAGCTGCTCATCGAATTTCTTCAGAACTTCCAGTTCCTCAGGAGGGTAATCCTTCTTCTTTTTCCCCTTTATCAGGACCATAGCATCATGAAACGAGAGCTGCGGAAGATGAATTGGCTCAAGGTTCATGAAATGCGGCAGCCGTGTTGTCACGATGACATGGCTTGCTCCAGTGTTTCTAGGAATGAAATCTTGCAGGTCCTTCCCTTCCCACCAATCCCTCTCGCTCTCGAGGTTATCGATTATGAGCAAGTAGGGCACATCCCTGAAAAGCTCTCTCTTCACCCTTTGAAATGCATCCAACTCTTGCTCCTCAAAGCTCCTGATCCTGCCGTGCTCCCTGTCAGCCTCGGCGCTGATATCCAGTCCCAAATACCCCGACAAATTCAGTATGTTCTGTCTCAGGTACCTTGCCTCGCCTCCAATCCACAATACCATCTTGTACCGCTGTGAGTACCGGTACGCAAATTCCAATGCCAGCTCCGTCTTGCCAATGCCTGAAATGCCATTGATGCAGACCACATTGCCATTGCCATGATCCTTGCTGTTGCACCTGAATCTTGACTTCCTGAGCTTTGATCTCTGCTTCAGAAGACCGATCCCTTTCGCAGCCGACAGATCGATCGCCGGAGCAACCGATGGCTCCAACATAGGCCGATTGCACTTGTGCAACTCCAAGCTGCCAAACCTGCCACTGCTTGTCCTCACCCTGTCACTGTCCTCATCAGCAAATCCTCCATCTGACACACCACTGGATACACAATTAGGCATGGTGCTGCCCCCTGGGCACTCCACATCTTCGACTTCGCCGGCGCAACCGAAGAACATTCCCTCGATCTCAGCAAGCTCTTTCTCCCTTCCAATGAAATGCCTGTTGCGCGGAAATGGCAAACCCTCAGTTCCCTCGCTCTCCTTTTCAGCAATTGTACCCCGGCCAAGCTTCGATTGCAGCACGGTGACCGCCGTCGACACACACCTCCTCCAGCTGCTCTCATCTGTCTCGAGCTTCAGCTCATGGCACCGCATTAGGCCGTCCAAAGCTTCCATCCCCTCCTTATCTTCAGGTTTGCCATCAAACAGCCCGGCGATGTCTGACACCCTGGTGTCAAACAAGATTGGCAGCAGGTTCCTCTTCTGAGCAAAGAACCGGATCTCCTCGAGGACGAACGGGTTGAGGAAGCTGGACGTGGTGACCACCACGATGCCGAAAGCCGCCGAGCAGATGATGCGGTCTGCGACCTCATGGCTGTGCGCGCCGGAGTACCTGGCCCGGTCGGCCGTGAACGCGGCGATCCCTTGCAGCTCAAGCTCTGCCTTGAGCCACCGGCAGAACCTGGCGAGGGCAGCCCCCTGGCCGTGGAAGCCGATGTAGACGTCGCAGCTCCGGAGCTTGCCGTTGGACATGGGCGACGCGACGGCGCCCCGCGTGAGCGAGACGCGCGGCACGGGGAAGGAGAAGGACACCCGCGGCGCGGGGCCGCCGTCGGAGGACCGCCGGCGCGGGTCGGCGCCCTGGGACCGGGAGTCGTAGCCGCGGTCCGACGGCGGCGTGCGGGAGGCGCTCGTCGGCGCGTCCGTGTCCTCCGACCGGAACCCTCCGGCGCCGCGGGGCGCCGGCGAGGGCAGCGCGGGGGTCCGGGAGACCTTGGTTCCTCGATGCGGCGGCTGGGGATTAGGAGGAGGAGGAGGCTCGGCGATCCGAGGGGAGATGTAGGGCGACTGCAGCGCGGAGACGAAGGCGGAGGACGGCGGCGAGGGCGAGCCGAGGTAGGGCGAGACGGGGCTCGGCCAGTCGGAGCCGCCGGCATTGGCGGCGGTCTTGATGGTGAGGGACTTGGCGGCGGCGGGGATGTCGTCGTCCTTGGGTTTGGGCGGCGCATCAGGAAATGATGCAACTTTTTGCTCTCCCCCTTCCATTGGTCAACAAATATAATCAGTTGGAGATCTCAGTGCAAGAACTTCATAGGAATTCGGTCCTCCTTCTCCTGTCAGAAACCCATCCACAGATAAGAAAGGAATAACAATCTGTTAAATTCTGGACTAGTATCACCACTCATCAGGATTCAGGAACGAGCATGTATGGATTCAGGGCAAGAATGCGCAGTCTAAAAAACCAAAGAAACAAAACATGAACTTGCAAGAACGTTCAAACCAAATAGGGACGGATTGAGCAAGCTAATTACCAGCGAAGGCCTTCAAGAATCCAGCGGTGCCATTAGGATTGTGATTCTGTCACGGCAGAAGAGCTCGGGCTCCAGGAACACCTGCCCCGGCCGACAGGAGAGCTTGTAGGGCCTTAAAAAAAAGGGTCAACTTTTGATAGTAATCTTCTTCCAGACCATGGAAGGGATGGTAGTCCCCCCTCCTACCCCTCCCTATGATCTCGTCCCAGCTCCCAAGCAGTCAAGGAGGAGGTACAAGCAGTAGTACAAGTAAAGAAACTTTGGGAGTCGGTGGCCGTTTGAACTGTCAAGTACTCCCACCGCTATCTGCCTTGGAAATGGGGGCTGAGAGGCGGAGATGGCAAAAGCAGGGGAGAAAAACAGATCGGGTGGGGAGGTGACATCAAAAGGCAGGCAGTGCCCCAGAAGATGAGAGCTGCGGGGGAAAGAAGACCAAGACCGGCTGCCGCAGCAACACCAATGATGATGCTCTGCTCCGAAGGGAGGGGATTGTACCCTGTGCACAAGCAGGAAATACATTGAATGAAACGAGATGAGATGAAGCGCAGGAGGGGGTTGTTAATGGAGGAGTACCTAGTACTTGGATGCGTCTCATAAGAGTTTTGGACCATACTGCTCAGATTAATTAATGGCGTCTGCATGCTGGAGCCAGGGCAAATTCATGCATGTTTTACCGGTGGTACGCCTGCTCTTGGCGCCCTGCTAGGCCTACACCCTGCTGCGTAACTGTCCCCAAGTACTCTCGCAGATAGAGATCTGGCATTACTACCGGCACCGAGGCCTTCGTGATCCTGCAACGGACGGGTGATTGCATTGGGGTTGGGTGATGCATGAGATGCTCGTGAATGTTGGGGGTCAGCAGATTTTGGGCGGGGCCGGAGCGAGCAGGCGACGCGGGAAATTCAGCATTCTACTGCCGTCTCCATTCATTCAAGGCAAGGCCGGAGCGAGCAGGACGGCGACGGAGACGGACAACGGGACAAAGAAACCGGCTCGGCTCTGCCCCTGCCTGCCGCCTCTCACATGCTCTGCTCCGGCACATGTACCGCAGGCTGCAGAGATCGCATCTGCGTTGTGCGATCGGCTCATGGATGGGATTCTCTTCTCTGAACTTGAGATTGATGCTAGGGTATCCCATATTCCTTGGGGACTTGGATTAGTCCTTCCACACGCAGCCAGAGCCCTGGGGCCAACTCCAATGCACGGTTCCAAACGGATGTCCGTTTTGTTCAGATTTTATCTATTTAGATAGGGCAGTGGGACGATGTCCGGCCGTTTTCTGTTTGCGCTGGCGGTGTTCTCAACTGTCGGATGCATTTGGTCAGCCACGACTATTGGAACCACTATATATACGTTTTATGAACTATAATACATTGTAGATAGTTTTTGGACGCCGATAACTGCCACACGTGTGGCACAATGGACACCCGCCCACACGATCATGTGTGGCATACCCCGCAGGCAGCTCACACGACTTTGTGTGGGCGAATATAAGAACTGCCCACACGTGTGGCACGAGGAGCATCCTACCACACGACTCCTACGGTACAATGGGATCGATCTCAAGTACGAATTCGTTTGACAGGGGAACCCACACCCCACACGCCTCCATCAGACCAGATCCCTTTTCCCTGTGAAAAAAAAGGGGGGAAAGCCCACTAACAACAAATTAAATGAAAAGGCCCAGTTTTTTGTTTTTTCTGTATAAATAAAAGTCCAGATTTTGCTCAGATACTAAAAAATGCCATCAGCTGCTTCGAAAAAAGCAGAAAATGTCATTCAAGTTTAACCATGAACAAAGGTTTATATTTGTTTTTTAACGATGGCAAAGGTTTATGAACACATATATAATGCCCAACATGAAATATGGCAAATCTGCCATGACAACAAAAATCAATATTGCCATGTGAAAAAACGCAAAAAGTTGAAAAATTCATGTGAAAAGAACACACAAATTTGACAAGGCAATAAAAGATAAAAATGCAATTGCATTTTTAATTAAAAATGCCATGAAAGTTTAATCAAAATTGCCATGTTTCAAAGGAGAATTTTGCCGTGTGTGTGACAAAAAACACAAAATGTTGAAAATCAAGTATGAACAAAGAGATTTGCCATGGCAGATTGGTATCAACGAATTGTCGTGTTTTGTATGATGAACTTAATGTGTGTTGAAAAACACAAAAGGTTTGGAATTCACCTATGAACAAGAAACGTGTCATGGCAAATTCGTATCAAAACTTGCCACGACGAAATTCATGTAAACTAAATTTGCCATGAACAAGAAACATTGCCATGGCAGATTTATATTGAAACTTGCCATGGCAGAAAAAATCATTTAAACTAAATTGCCATGATCACTAAAATAAATTTGCCATGAATTGTAAACTAAATTTGCCATGAATTGTAAACTAAATTTGCCATGAACCAACAAACTAAAATTTGCCATGATCAACAAACCAAATTTGTATCAAAACTAGGCACGGCAGACTTATATCAATAATTGCCATGTTCTGGTATGATGAATTTGCCATGTGTGTAAAAAACAAAAAAGTTAAAAAATCATAAATATGAACAGGAAAATTGGCACGGCAGAAATTCACGTAAACTAATTTTGCCATTATCAAGAAAAATTGCCATGGCAGATTCATATTGAAACTTGCCATGACAGAAAAAATCATGTAAACTAAATTGCCCTGATTTGAAAACGTATCAAAACTTGGCATGGCAGATTTGTATCAAGAATTGCCATGTTTTGGTATGATGAATTTTCCGCGTGTGTAAAAAACACAAAAGGTTGAAAATCAAAAAATATGAACGAGAAAATTGCCATGGCAAATTCGTATCAAGAATTGCCGCTTGTTTGTATGATGAATTTGCCGCGTGTGAAAAAAACACAAAAAGTTGAAAGTCCAGTATAAACAAGAAAAATGCCATGGTAGATTCGTATCAAAACTTGCCACGGCGAAATTCACGTAAACTAAAATTTGCCACGATTTGAAATTCGCCATGACTAGTAAACTAAATTTGCAATGAACCAAATAAACAAAATTTGACATAATCAAATAAAATCAGTTTGCCATGATCAATAAACTAATTTTGCCATAGCCAACATACTAAATTTGCCATTATCAACAACCTAAAATTGCCGTGGTTAACTAAGAAACAAAAGCATAAAGATTGTCATGGGCGTGTTAAAAAAACTAAATTTGCCATGACTAGTAAACTAAATTTGCCATGAACCAAGTAAACTAAATTTGACATGATCAAATAAAATCAGTTTGCCATGATCAATAAACTAAATTTGCCTTGGTCAATAAGCTAAATTTGCCATTATCAACAAACTAAATTTGCCGTGGTTAAGTAAGAAACAAAAGCATAAACATTGTCGTGGGTGTGTTAAAAAAATGAAATTTGCCATGACTAATAAACTAAATTTGCCATGAACCAAATAAACTAAATTTGACATGATCAAATAAAATCAGTTTGCCATGATCAATAAACTAAATTTGCCATGGTCAATAAACTAAATTTGCCATGGTGTTTTGCTTATAAATAGTATACGTTATAGAATTGCCATCGATAAAAGTTTAACAACTGTCATGATTTCTGACCTCAATCTAACCACATGTATTCTATAGATAACAACACCAGATAATTAACAGGCCTCGTGACCTAGGGTACTACTACAGGTACACATGTTTAAGCTATGTGACCAACTTAAAATGCCATGGGTTAAATTTGCCATGCCTCTGAAATTTACCATGGCATCATCAAAAATTGCCATGACTCTAAAGTTGCCATTACTGCATGCTCGAAAACTGCCCGTGGAAACTACAGACTATCCATCCAATTCTAAACAAAGGCTAAATTATCAGATTGAAAACTGTACACAGATGATTGATCAAACAAAAATCATCTCCCTGCTGCCGTGTGTATGAACACACAACACACGAAACTGAGAGAGGGAAAATCAAACCTCCATGGCATCGGGTGCCGGAGGAGCACGGAGCAGGCGGGCCTTCCTGAAGATCACATCGAGCACGCGGATGTCGTCGTGATTGCAGTGGTTGTTGGGCTACCGCGACGCCCTGACGAACAAGCTGTTGCCTCCCACGACCACAAGCCCATCGATGTTGACGACGAACATGGGGTGGCGCTTGCCCACCGGGTCGAGTAGCTCCGGCCCGCGCCTGCACCCACCACGAAGGCCGAGCCCCACCAGGGACACCCTCCGGCCCGCCGCCGTCGTTCCCGGGGCATGAGTTGGCGAGTAGCGCGGCGGCAGCACGCAGATAGACTGGCGCGTGGCGGAGCTTGAACCCCAGAAGTAGCCGCACGCGCTCACTGTTGGAAATATGCCCTAGAGGCAATAATAAAAGTATTATTATATTTCTATGTTCATGATAATTGTCTTTTATTCATGCTATAACTGTATTATCCGGAAATCGTAATACACGTGTGAATACAAAGACCACAATATGTCCCTAGTGAGCCTCTAGTTGACTAGCTCGTTGTGATCAACAGATAGTCATGGTTTCCTGGCTATGAACATTGGATGTCGTTGATGACGGGATCACATCATTACGAGAATGATGTGATGGACAAGACCCAATCCTAAGCATAGCACAAAGATCGTGTAGTTCGTTTGCTAGAGCTTTGCCAATGTCAAGTATCTCTTCCTTTGACCATGAGAGCGTGTAACTCCTGGATACCTTAGGAGTGCTTTGGGTGTAT